TGTTTTTGTGATTCATCACTATGCTTTAATTATGTTCAATTTGTAACAAGGAAAATACATCCTGCATATCAGATATTTACATTACGATTCATAACAGTAGCAAAATTACAGTTATGAAGTAGCAACGAAAATAATTTTATGGTTGGGGGTCACCACAACATGAGGAACTGTATTAAAGGGTCGCGGCATTAGGAAGGTTGAGAACCACTGCTCTAGTAGCATAGCTTTTTTTGTTGTTGTTAATCCTCAGTTTTTTCCCATTGATTTTTAGAGAGAGTGGAAGGGAGGGAGTGGGGAGGGAGAGAGAGACTGGTTGTCCAGGAATCCATCCTGCAACCCAGGTATGTGCTCTTGACCTTGAATCAAACCCGAAACCCCTCTATGCTCTGGGGAACACTCTAACCACTGAGCAACACCGCCAAGGGCTAATAGCATAGCTTTTGAGAGAGGAAGGCAGCCTCGCTGGTGTGGCTCAGTAGATTGAGCATCATTCCATGCACCAAGAAGTCACTGGTTCAATTCTAGGTCAGGGCACGTGCCTGGGTTGCAGACTTGATTCCCAGTAGGGGGTGTGTAGAAGGCAGTTGATCAATGTATCTTTCTCTCTTTTCCTCTCAATAAAATCAATTTCTAAAAATATTTTTAAAAAAGGGAGAGAAAAAGAGAGAGGAAGGCAAATAGATCAAGACAGGGGAATTAGTGATCTGCTTCTCCCGGCCTCCTCCCCAGTTTCCCAGCCTCCTGGGGAAGTTCTGGTCATTTCTGCCTTCCTGCCACTGGCCTGGGAGAGCACGGGGCTGGGAAAGGGGTGATGAGGCTGGGAGCCAGCGTCTCCTCCCAGGCGCTCCTCCAGCCCCACACCCACGTCCACAGTTGCACACATCTCATTCCACCACCTTTAAGTCTGCCCACTTCCTCAGCACCTGCAGGACTGAGGCCCAGCTCTGAGCCTGGCGTCTGAGGCCCTCACCTTCCAGCCCTAGGGCCCCTTTCTCGCTTCCTCTTTCACCCCCACCTCCATCCCCTCCTGCTACAGCCCTGGGAGTGCTCCCCCTTCTCTGAACACAATGCTCCTTACACAGGGCTATACCTCTGCTCCTTCTGAGTCCTCTGCCCGGTGCCAGCCCTTCCCTTCTCCCCTGTCACTCATGTCGCCAGGCCCAGCCCAAATGCCACTGCCTCCAGGTGGTCTTCCACGCTCCTCCCTGCCCCTGCATCCTGAGGTGTCTCACCTTTAGAGAGAGTACGTGACATGTTTGGAATCTCAGAGCCTCGGGGTTCTGTGTGACCTTCGGTAACATTTACACTCTCTGAGCCTCGGTTTCCTTCCCTGTCAAATGGGGATGACAGTGTCTCTCTCATGGGGCCCTTGCATGATGAAACAACACTGGATCAAGCCCCAAGCCCCATGCCTGGAGCTCCATGCCTGGTGCTGGGTACACGTTCCTTCATTGGAAGGCATTGTGTTTTTTGTTTGTTTTTCTTTAATATATCTTGATTGAGTTCAGAGAGGAAGGGGAGGGAGAGAGAGATAGAAGCATCAATGATGAAAGAGATTCACTGATCGGCTGCCTCCTGCATGCCCCACACTGGGGATCGAACCCACAAACTAGGCATGTGCCCTGACCGGGAACTGAACCGTGACCTCCTGGTTCATGGATCGATGCTCAACCACTGAGCAAACCAGCTAGGGCAGAAGGCATTGTTGTTGCTATTATTCCATTGATCCTACAGTGACTTACCTGCCGGTGTCCCCCACCAGCTAGGAGCCCCTCACAGCAAGGGGCAGGCCCCGCTGGTCCCGTGTCCGGGCAACCGGCACACAGGCTCCCACGACTAGAGTCTGTGTGTGGGAGTAACAGTCTGCACCAGCTCACCTGCTGCCTGAGGAAGTGGCTCCGAATGGCTGAGTTTGGAGCCTAAGTCCTTCTTCCCTCAGGGACTCTGCCTCTGGTACTCAGGGGCCTGGCGGCCAGCGGGAGGCCTTGATGTCGCCATCCTAGGCCAGCTGGGCGGCCAGGCCACTACCTCCCTGTCTCCCAGAGGCCAGGGAGGGGAGGGGTGTGTGGAGAATGAGTGCCTGTGGGAAGAAGCCTGGAAAGATCCAAGGAAAAGAATCGCTGGACACAGAGCAGGGAGGTACCTGTGGTCTGGAACACAGTCCCGGTTTGCCTCTGCTCTGATGGACAGGATCCGTGTTAGGGCCTATTTCCACCTGGGAAAGGCCATTTGACATCACGCATTCATAGGCCTGAGGTCAGGACGCACTGGGATTATGTATGCAGAACCCCCAGCCCATGGCTTGGTATTTGTAAAAGCTGAATGGATGGAAGCCGGGAGGAGTCCCCTTCACCACCGTGGTCCCGCATCACTCAGAGACAGGCCAGCTCAGCCTGACAGCGAGCACCCTGTTCAGGAGGCCCAGGGCGGGGGTGGCAGCTCCGGGAACAGTGCAAGTACCCGGGGGGAAGCGTGAGCGGAAGTAGTCAGGAGTGAGGGGGAACTTGGAAGAGGAAAGAGAGAATCAGAACTTTCAGCCCTTAACCCACGAGGCACAGAGACTTGGAAGGTTCCTCAAGATGCCCGCGTCCCCCCTGCAACAATGCCAGTGCCCTCCTGGCCCGGCAGCCCTGAGCTCATAGTCACATGGCCCTTGAACTCCCGCAGGGCAGGGTGCTTCCCAAGGCAGCCCGATTGCCAGGGGACAGTACCAATGGCGAGGAAGTGGGTTTTTAAAAAAATTTTATTTTTATTTATTGGTTTGAGAGAGAGAGAGAGAGAGAGAAACACTGATTTGTTGTTCCACTTATGTATACATTCATTGGTTGCTTCTTGTATGGGCCCTGACTAGGGAATGAACCTGCAACCTTGGCGTACTGGGGTGATGCTCTGACCAACTGAGCTACCTGGTCAGGGCGCACGGAAGTGTTTCCATTGCCAGGAGGAGTCTCCATGGGGCTAATCCTTCTAGAAAGTGACTAGGCAATGGATACATGTCAACCTTAAGAGCCTTGAAAGCACGCGTGCCTTCTGCACCGCCGATGCTGCTCCCGGAGCTTTCCTGAGCGAAGGATTTGGACGATGCTCTGAGCACAGGAACGTTTTACTACAGGGACACTCACGATTGGGCAGCCGTTGAAAACGCCCTGAGTAACCAGTAATGGCCTTGCTGCGGTTGCCATGGACACAATTGTTAAATCCGTTTTAGTAAGACTCTTAGAGCACTTCCCTTTGGGGTCCCCCCATATGTAGTGGATAAGAATTAGGTTTTTGGATCAGCGAGACCCAGGCCTGCAACTGGAGTTTGTCCCTGGGGGTGGGGGCGGGAGGTCACCACTCTTCTCAGACTCTGGTTTTCTGTCTTGACAATGGAGTTCAGTTCCATGGCTCGCTCAGGGTAGCCGTGAAGATTGAACAAGGAAATGCTGGTCAGGGGATGTCAGATGTCTTGTCTACAACACAGAATTGCACAGGGGTCGCAGGAAGCACACCCAGGTGACTGGTCACTCCTGAGCCACCGTGATGACCACAGGAGGTCACATGACCTATATAGGGCGGGTCAAAGGCGGAGCACTGGGGCGATGCTGTCACAGCAAGGGGGCTGCCTGGTGCTGGCTAGGCCGCCTCTGAGCCAGACCTGTGTGCTCTGCCTGGGATCCCTGTTCTCTCGACCTGGCCAGCTGGGGGCCTTAGAAACTGACTGTGATGCTTTGGCTGGTTTGACTCAGTGGATGGAGCATCAGCCTGTGGACTGAAGGGTCCCGGGTTCGATTCCAGTCAGGGGCACATGCCCCGGTTGCGGGCTCGATCCCC